AACCTCAGAAAAGTAAAAAAAGAGTCTTTCCATTGCTTATGTCCATGTGTGAAGAACAGATGTGAGTCTAGCTAAAGACTATAGTTCTGTGAGCTACAGAAGAAAAGGAAATTCTATGCTTTTGTCCCCTTGGCTTTTCCCAAGAGAAAGGGGTCATGTGGCCTCATTCAGGATGTGTTCAGTAGTCTCATGCAACAAACATATCTCCTTGGGATGTGTGTGCATGGGGTTCAGAGGTGGATGTGGAAGAGGCAAGCCAAATATAAAGGGGAGAAAGCCTGACCACGTGGCTGACTGGCATCCACAACCAATAGGAACACTGATGATGCCAGAGTCCACCTGTCTAGTCCAGGAATAGTGTTTTCACCAAGAGCACACACCCCAGCAATCGACAGCTATTTCAAAATAACCCAAATCCATTCTAAATCCATCTCAACAACAAGACAGGGAAACGCAGTCCCCAGGAACATTCAAACTATCTCTTTGGTGCTTTTAGTCACCTGCCTCTCAATCTGCAGGTGCTCCCTCCAGTCTCTGCCCTGGAACTGTCTCCCTGAATCTTCATGTTCTTTTTATCACTCTCACCTGCATCATGTCCTCCTAATCGAATATCCCAGAGTCCCAAGAAGTATAGGGAGGACCCTCCTTCTTCATTGATGGAGGATTCTCAAATTTAATTGCTTTAATTTTGTTATATACCTGTTAATAGAATCATGAGGACCCAGCTTTGCTATATAGGATCCTAGAATGTGAGAAGCAAAAAGAAATCGGGTAATAGTTCAGTGGTCCTGAGAAGAAAGGCAAGAGGAGCTTCTCAATGTCTGGAACCACCTGGTAAGCAAGGCGATGTGTTCCTATTTTAATAGTTAAACTCCCTTGAATGAGGCTCAGCACTTAATTTCCTTCTGTTGAATTCCTCTGCAAGAAGACTTCTATTGTATTGCACTGGAATCACGCGGCTACCTTCAAGATTTCTCCTCATTATGTCAGAATAGAATTTTTCCCTTCTATTTTTATGTTTGAAATATGTTAACATCTTTTAAAATTGTCTTTCTTGGTAGCGTTTTTTTTATTCTTTCCCCAACTACCAAAAATTAAAAGTATAATATGAAACAAAACATATGGAATCATCCAAATCCTTATTCTTGGTTATGATCTTCCAAGTTAGATACTTGTGTTTTTCAAAGCTTAATCTTCATGGACAGAGTTTAGAACAAATAATCACAATAACAGCAAGGTGCCTGGAACTGAGCCTCGCAGTTTTTATGTATCAGCTCATTTAAACCTTGTAGCATTCTTGTCATAGGATAATACTGTGGTCTTTAATCAGGAACACTTGTATAATGTAATTTTTCTGGCTCTCACATAGGTCCCATGGAGAAGCAAAAATTGTCATTAAGAACCATTCATTCAAGGTGATTTATTTTCCTGTAACTCTTTTGTGGATACAATGCCTCAACCCAGTGATGGCTCCCTAGGGAAGATTGCTGTCTTGGTGGTGGTTACCCATGCTCATGGCATCAGCAATACAAATAGCTCCTTTCTACTCATTTTCAGCCCATATCTTTTACCCACTGTAAAATCTTTTACTCATGTTAAAAGATTAACTTAGTGTTTTATCTAAATGTTTAACTTTCAAGTGCCTTTGAGGCATTACAGTTTGGATGTCCTTCTGTTAAAGCAATTGTATATTCAAAACTAAACAGTACTGTGCTGTTTAATATGGTAGCTAAGAGCTACTGTAGCTTATGGACACAAGAAACACAGTAGTGCAAATTGTGATGTGTTATATAGACATAACAGATGCTCTACTCCAAAGATTTAGTGAAAAAAAAAAAAGAGAGAGAGAGTGCACTGATGATAATGTACCCTGGTACTTTATACATGACATCCTTTTTAATCTTTACTGCAATTGTGTTGAAATAGCTACCCTTGTTCTTCCCATTTTAGAGATGGAGTCTAGAAATAAAGTATTTGTCCAGTTTTGCATGGCTAGTAGCTTTGATGTTCTGGCAGCCTCAATTCCTGTGGATGATATCATACACAATTACTTCCCAAGATACAGATACAGTGTGTATGAATTCCTGGTTCTCTCTCACAGAATGTACCTTTCTGTAGTAGCCATAGTACCATGGACTTACTCCTCAGATATCCTCGTCTCTAGCTCAGATCTCATTTTCTCTTTGAAATAAAATTATGCACAATTTAAAAGAAAAGTCATTTTCCTGGAATATGGAATATTCCTCTAAAAATTACAGCAACATCTATTTTATTAAAACTACAAAGGCAGAGAAAAGTGACAAAATATGAAGTTCTGTGATAGAAGGTGAAATTCCATTCTGCCTAAAGCTATGCTTCTGTCATGTCAAAACACACACACACACACACACACACACACACACACTGAGCAAATCACTCTTTCCAGACTGCAGATACATATAGTGCAGTTGCATCTTAACCTTGATCTCAAAATTAGGTGAAGAGTAGAAATACTTATGGATAAAAATTATAGTGTCAACAAAGTTCATTATAAAGGATGACATTGCAAACTATTATGCCAGTTCAGACAAACCTGACTTAGCTGATTTCTAGTTTAGAAATGGACTATTGTTCCTTTAGTTTAATGCCAATGATATCACTTGTTTGTATTTATAGGACATATTCTATGAAAGGTGTGTTACCCAAGACACTGGAATTACACACTGCACAGTGAGATGCTCAGTTCAGGACAGCTACCTGAAAACTGGAGCAAACAAGGGAAATGAAATC